AGTAAAATAATATAGAGCACTCACCACTCAATGTGGTAACCCGAGTTCGAATCTCCGTGAGGGTTGATTCACACGAATCCCTCACACAGCTCACACCGACCACAATTCTGGAGCAAAACATCATCAGTAGTAGACCGATCATGAGTGAGAGTCCCCTAGCAGACAGGCTAACAATGGAAGGTTTTCCTCTCCTTGTAACGTAATTGCTGATTAGTTCCATCAAAATCGGAACAGGAGACCTAATTTTGAGTCGTTAACTCAAAATTAGGTCTCCTGCTCAACGACGGTTATAAAATAATAAGTATACTCTTTGCTTGATAAACCTTGTATTAAAATGTTATACTTTTTTGCCTCTTTTTAAATTGATTTTTATAACAGCTACAGTACTTAATCAAAAAATAATAAATGAAAATTAAAACTTAAACAATGTGACAAGAAAATTGGTTGGACAATATGACAAAATAATTAAAATAATAAATGACCAATATGCATAGATGCAAAATAATTCAAATAAAGACTCCCTTCTTCATATTATTAATGAAAAGAAAATCCCTATGAAATTTCCATTTTAAGAACAATCATTTTTTTTTCTTAATTTATCTCATTTTACAACGCTTTACCAATTTACTTTTTATCCTGAAAAGAAAAATGGCGATAGATCATTTATTTCGATACAAAGCAAATTATCCCCCTCAGTTGAACTGAGAATTTGAAATACAGTTTATTGATCTAGCGAAACACATTCCATGGTTATGTTCCCAGCAATATGCGAAACGGGGCGTAATCAAGTGGGAGTTATCAAATGATGGTATATCTAAACGCCCTTGCACACATCTTTGAAATAACTGCTTCCTTATTTCCCTTACGACCAAGTTTCATTTCTTGGATATGATACGGTGCAGTTTCCGTTCTGTACGTCATTATGATGTGGGAAAAAAAGAAATCCACGTCTTCATTTTTCCTTTTTTTTTTTACACACATAGTTTAGAATCTAACTTTTTTTATGCCCTTTATTCATTTTTAAATCGTTTAATGATTACATTAAATATCTCAATTTATAATCTTTCATTTTTCTTTTTAAACCAAGCTGATATGAAAGAGTTGGCAAAAATTACGAAACTATGTTTTTGTAATGTGCCATTTTTATTTAAATTAATTAATAACAATAGAAATTATCACAAGGAACTTTAAATGTTATATCTAATGAAATATTTTAATTAAATAGAACGTTAAAGCATTTTATAGTTTAATTTACTCAAAATGGCTTTTTTGTAGATTTAGCGAATATTTAATTAAATATGTTAGAGTGTAATCAAACATGATATTTAAATTTTCTGTAAGAAAACCAGAGGAGGTTTTGCTTTTGTGTAAACGCGGGTTCCCACAACCTCGAAGTACCCTAATGTATTTTCCTTTCATTATCTTTTCTCTTTATCTTTTTACATCAAAATTGGTTAACTGCTTTCATAAATTACGAAATATTGTACACGTTTATCGCAGTAAAATTGCTTCTAGCTTTTGTTCAACTCAACTTCCTGTGAGAAAACTGTAATTCAGTAATTTTTTTTGTAAAGAATTTTGAAAAATAATGTTTTTACTTTAAGATTTTGCCACCGACAGATAGTAAATTATTAATTAACAGCTTTTTTTTTTCTCTTTTTTTTTTTTTAAGTTGNTTTTTTTTTTTTTTTTTTTTTTTTTTTTTTTTTTTTTTTTTTTTTTGAAAAATGATGAAGTTAGCTATTGAATTTGGAAAAATTATGGAAAATGAGAAGAAATTAGTTTTAAATCTGGTCACGAAAAAGATAACAAACATCTAGCGAAAACTGGACAAATGCATGCTGGAAACTAAGAACAGCATCACAGAAGGAGACAAAACCGAAATATAATATATTATCTACTTTGGAAAAGCCACAATATGAGCCGAGGTGATTCGGGGGATGGAGCGTTCGCCTTCCAATGAGGTGAACCGCATTTGAATCCCAACGATGGTTGCTCGATATGAATTCCGCACCCGGCTTGCACCGACCACAGTGCGGACGTAAAATATCCTCAGTGGGTATAATGCGGATTAGTTCCACCAAAAAGTTCTCCACAAAGGCAAATTTCTCCCAATACTTGGTCCAGGAGTTCTCTTGTGTTCTGGATTGGGTTCAAAATTGCAAAGGCTACGTAGTTAAACATTAATAGTCGTAAACCCAAAAGTTGGGTCTGCTGTTCAAGAACGGTTATAAGAAAAAAAAGTTTTAAATTTTTTTTTAAAAAATAGGCTGTTTTATAATTTATTTTAATTGAACCCAATTTCAAGGTCCGGCAGGAATTTGCAGTTGATACGTTGAAGTACTGACATGGGAACATCCTATAAATTTAAATTTGAATCTTTTCACATATTAGTATCACTGTAGAAAAACTTGCTGCCTATAAAAATTTTGATCTACCTTATTTCAGTTGATAATAGCACGATAACACTTTCAGAGAAAAAAAAATAATACTTTTAAATAAATTAATTACTTTTTAAAAAATTATTTTATGAGACTCTTACTTTTTGTATTATAAGACGTAACACGAAGCATTTCAGGTGATGCTTAATGGTGTAATTAGAGAACAAACGTTCTACAATTTAGTGTTTTTAATTAATCCTATATGTTTCTTATTTTAATTCTGTTATATTGTAAATTACAGCGAACCGAGAATAGAAAAATTTACAATAAAATTTTTTTAAATAACTTTAAAAACCATAGCCTGTCTAAATTTATACTTCCAACAATTTAAAACTATTAATAATACACGTCAAGCATTATATTAGGCTTAAAAATAAATTTATAAACAAGAAACATAGAAAGAAATTTAAAATATTTAAATCAAATCGCAATTTAGTGCTAAAATTTGTACATAATTTTTCTTCATTAACGTTCGACATCATTTGATGAGAATTTTATCCAAGTACATACTTTATGGAATTAAAAAAATATTTACCAAAAAATTATCTAAGATTTCAAAAATTCAACTAAAAATTAAAGGAGAAGACTATGAATTTATTGTACAATCAATAGTCAATTGGCTCCTAAAAGCAGTGAAGTGATAAACACATTTGACCAGAAATTGTATCAATTTTGACACTCTTTAAAAAAAAAATGCATACTTTTACATGTTGCAACATTTCATGCTGCATCTAGTATTATAGTGGAAACTAGACTCTTCTCCATGAATAAAACAAATAAACAAACGATTATAACGAGATTCAAAAATTTAATGATATTAAATAAAAGAAAAAGATAAAATTATTGTCTCAAGAGAAGTTAAGGCTTCTACCACTAGAGATGCGATTTTCCAGCTCTTTGAAAAAAAATATGATGATTTTCCGCATATTCTAACATTTGAGTTGAAATTCTTTAGTACTAATATTTAGTATGTAATTTTTAAATTAATTCGAGCATATTTCATGTTGAAAATATAAGGAGGCAATTTTTTTCTGAAAATTGAGCTCTAAATGGATACTGATAAAATAATTATTTACTCAAAAGTCATTTTTGTTTTGAAACTAAGTGCTATTTTTCAGTGAAATAAAATTCAATTAGTAATTAATTTTATGCATAGTAATTTTAAATGATTCAATAAGTTAACAAAAGTGTTTTAAAAAGAAATATTGCTACAATTTATAACATATTCTGAATAAAAGAAAACGCAGATATAAAAATTTCCTCATTTGAAAGTGCCTTAAAATAATATTTTAGCGCATTTCATGTATTTACTCGACTTCCTTTTTGAATTTTCTTATAAACCATCTTGTGTAGTTCCATTTCCTATCAAAATTATTTTACTTCCGTGTGCTCTCTTAGTTCCAACATTTTATTTTAACTAATAACAAGGCTGCCTTATTATATTAATAAAATCCAGTTTATTAGTTATTTTATAGTAAAATTAATTTTTATTTATAAAAAGTAGATATTCAAATAAGTGTTTCATTATGAAGATTTTTTTGCGAGTAATCTGAGTAGCCGTTGAATTTCCTGTATCCTGTATCATCTTTCTTTTTTTAATTTCCTGTATCTAGTAAGTACTTTTTCAATTCACTAAAAGATTGCTGCCAAATGCTGTTGTTCGTTATTGTCAAAGCATTAGAAGATTGCTCATTCATATTTTGAAAAATTACGCTCAGCTTTTAAAATATAGTCATTAGAACTCAAGAATCATTTGTTCAAAAAAAAATATTGTTTTTTTTATTACATTTTGTTTAAAACAAGAATAATTTGTAATCGAAAAATGAATGTAAGTGCCTCGTTTTCCTCAAAAGTAAAATTATAAAGTTTAAAAAAAAAAAATTATTTTAATCTTAAGTAATTGTTCAGATCGTAAATTTGTGATTGTATAACATTGATGTATTGTTTGTCATACTGATCGAAATTAGTTAAATATTATTTTAAACTTTACATGTCTGCAAAGCTTATCAACCTCATTAAGCAGAATTGTTTAATGAAATTCTATTCTTTGCTGAAGTGACTGATATTAGACATGACTGGAACAGTTAAAAAGTACTGGGTACTAAAAGTAAGCATATGCCCGCAAAGGGTTAAAAATTAGCATTTAAAAAAAAACAAGAAGAAAGATTTGATATCCAAAATGTGACTCGATATATTTTGTTTTGCACTAAACTAAGACTTTTAAGTTCGTGTAAACATTTCAGAAAATAAAGCGTTTTCAAAATTACTTCCTAATTTTCATATATGAACCTTTGTTGTTGAATAAAATAAGGATTTTAAGACTTGTGTTCGTTTTTGTAAGCTATTCTGCAACAGTTTGTAATCTGAGTGAAACTTGAAGAATTATTTCACCGTATTAGTGATCAATTTTAAAATACAGTGATTATAAAGATTATAAATACAGTATTTTCTTATAATTTAATATCAAAAGTCAACAGCTTTAAAATAATATCTCTTAAACTATGTTGTCTTTTACATGTATGTTGCAATTTCAACCCGTTGTCTTCTTCATTTTTCTAGTTTGAAGTCACCAGAGTTACCAATCTGAATTCAACCCCATGCCACCTTCAAACCTCAATAAAGTTTCCAAATCCAGAAGGATATCCCTCCTTCGATTTAGCCAAGACCCACTCCTCCACCTCACCCAGCGATGACGACACCCACAACCTCGTTCAGAGGTGGCGGTTCCAACAGAAAGATCCCAACTGGCCACCTCATCGGAATTGCCAGCCTCATTCTATTGTGCCTCGGAATCATACATGGCAAGAAGGCGATCCTAGAAGGAGACGTAATGCTGGGGGGCCTTTTTCCCGTCCACCAAAAAGGTGTCAAGACCAAATGTGGAGCCATCTTCAAGGACAGGGGTGTTCAGCGCCTGGAAGCTATGCTGTTTGCCTTGGAGAAGATTAACAGGGATCCCACGATCCTGAAAGACATCAAACTTGGGGCCATCATTCTGGATACGTGTTCCAGTGATAGTTATGCCTTGAATCAATCTCTGGAGTTCATCCGGGCCTCCATAAACACTGTGGATGTCACAACATACGAGTGTGAGGACGGGTCAGCGCCCACCATTAAATTCTCGACCAAGCCCATTACTGGTGTTGTGGGAGGATCTTACAGTGAAGTGTCTCTGCAGGTGGCTAATCTGCTAAGGTTATTTAAGATACCACAAATATCTCCTGCTTCCACTGGTACTTCGCTTAGTGATAAAACGAGGTAATATATTTTTACAAAAAATCAATTACTATCTTAAATTTTTGAAACAATATGTTGTCACCAATTATAACAGATCTGCATGGCAGAATTACCACTTGATAAATTTTTGCATGATCATAGAGAAAATAGTTTGCGTTTTTTGGAAAACTGTAAATGATCGCATTTCCATGAGTCTGCACTAATAACTGCATTAAAGCTTTGAATTTCGAAATTTATAAATATTTAAATTTTAATTAGCAGAATTTAAATATAATTTCGAATTATATGCCATAGTTTAACATTCTAATAGATAATTTAACAGTAAATATGATATTTTGCTCATGCATGTAATGAGATTCGATTTCACTCCTCCTAACACAAGTACTGATTATAACTTATATTAAAAAATAAATTCATGCTAAATTAAATTTTAAAGATAGCCTCAATTTAATATAAATATATTCTTTTTTTGCAACTACTAAACGTTATTTGAAAATTATGTCAGTGAGAAAGATTGCTAGGAATAAATATTCATTTAAGTGATGTGTATTCAAGAGTATTGATGAGTATTCAATTCTCTAAGAGGCATCACGTGACACACACTTTAAAAACGTCTTATTCATTAAACCAAACTCTTAAATTGTGCTTGATTCCTTTAACATACAAAACAATAACATAGAGAACAGTAATCTATTTTGATAAAAAAAATGTATGCAATTGAGAATTTAATTCATTTAAATTAAAATAAAATCGCATCGTTCTTCTTCTTTTATTTAGGTACGACTTTTTTGCACGTACAGTACCTCCAGATACCTTCCAAGCCATAGCTCTAGTAGACCTTGTACAAAGATTCAACTGGTCATATGTGTCATTAGTTTCATCAGAGGGACAGTATGGTGATTCAGGCATGACAGCGTTCCAAAAAGAAGCCAGAAGTCGTAACATTTGCATAGCTTTAAATGAAAAAGTTCCTCACTCAGCTACAGAAGAAGTCTTTGATTCCATTTATCAAAATCTTTTGCAAAAAATGAGTGCAAGGGGTGTAGTACTTTTCGCCAGAGCCGAAGATGCCGCTGGTATGTTGCGAGCTGCAATGAGGGCCCAAAAACATTATTTCACTTGGGTCGCTAGTGATGGTTGGGGCAAACAAGAAAAACTAGTAGAAGGATTAGAACCTGCTGCAGAAGGTGCCATTACTGTAGAACTAAAATCGACTGAAATTTCAGAATTTAATGACTATATGAAAAATTTGACTCCAATGACTAATCAAAGAAATCCGTGGTTTGAGGAGTATTGGGAAAGCGTTTTTGCGTGCACACTTCCCAAAAATGTAAAACCAGATTCGAACTCAAGTGTGGTAGTCTGCTCTCCCAATTTAAGATTGGAAGAGAGCGTTGGCTTCATGCAGGAGTCGAAAGTTCAGTTTGTGGTGGATGCTGTGTATGCTTTTGCTCACGCGTTTGATAGTGTTTGGCGAGACTTGTGTGAGCCAAAGGGTGAATTTTATTGTAATGAAATGAGAACTTTAGATGGAAGTAAACTGTATCTAGATTACATTCTAAACGTGTCATTCATGGGTAAGTTTCAATTTATATTTTTTAACAGATATTTTCAAAATTGTTTCTCCTCACTAAAATATTCACTTCTAATTGACTTTCTCATAAAGTAATACATTTTGACTAAACTCTTATAAACTTATTGTTAACAATATTCTCGCTGATTCAGAGTTGTACTTTAATATAGCACTTCAAACCAATGTATTTTCTTTTCGCAACCTTATTGAGGTATTAAAATGAATACTGTTTCTTATCAAGTTTAATTATGATATCTTATAAGTGTAATATCTAGTACCGTAATACAGTTCAATCGGTATAAAGTAGAAGCAAATTTTCACGATATTGTGTCTCAATGTGTATCAAAATTTTTAAAATTTACTTTGTAGTAAATTTAATGAAAAAGTTCAAAATGATTCCAAATTTAAGGAAACACTATGATATTTAGTTAGTTGTCATTTTCCTATTATACTCGTCTAATTGCTTATTCGTTTTATCGAAGAAATGTATACGCTATATTTCATGACATTTCATATGGTTTAAAATTATTCTAAATTTATAAGAAAATGATGCCAATTTCAATTTTTTTTAAATTATGATGGTCTAATTGCTTATTTTTACCGATGAAAAACTTAATATCTTTGAATAGAAATGAATCGATGAACAATAATACAAACAATTTTCATCCCATGTAGCATGATACGTAAATTAAACGTAAATTTTTGGGACATTGGTTAAGTCAATACGCTTTATACGTAAATTTTGCGCAGTATTGACGGAGCGATATTGCTATTGAGATCTTTGGTTAAAAGCTGTCGTATATTTTACGTAATATTAACAGAATTGATATTACAAACTACTTTTCGGTAAGATTGCTTTCGTATAATTTACGAAACATTGACTGAAGAATATTTACTATTTAGATTTAGTGAAAATGATACTGTATATTTTGCGTATTATTGACGAAGCAAATTTACCATTTAAATTTCTGTTCGAATTTATTTACTCAAATTTTATTTCCATCTTTTTTTTTTTTTCTTTTTTTTTTGGATAACCACTTTTTTCTGTATTTTGATGTTTCAACTTAAGTACATTTTGACATGCTGTTGACGTAAATAATATGTAAAAATTACGCACCCATTTTTACCTAGTAAAAAGTGGTTGGTAAAATATTCTTACGTAAAATTTTACGTAGACTTTCCCTTTTCGGATAAGCATTCTTTGCTATAATTCGCCACTTCAACTGACGTAAATTTTGATGCATTGTTGATGCAAATATTATGAAAAAATAATGTACATATTCCTACGCAGTAAAAAGTGGTTGGTTAAATATTCGTAGGCGAAGCGAATTTGCTTACGTAAATTTCACGCTTTCGGATCACCATTTTTTATTATAATTTGACACTTCAGTTTTAGGTAAATTTTACGAATGCTCAATAAAATTGAAAGGTAAAATATAAAATTGATGGTTCTTTGCTCCCTTGGAATTGTTTCACCTTCTAAGAAAAGCAAATAAAATAAATTTTCCTTCTTCTTTTAACTACGTAATAAAAACTATTTTATTTTAAAAGAATAATAGTTATTCTAACAACTAACTTCGCATATTTAAGGTATCATTCATTTAATTTTAGTTAACAAGTCTTGCAAGAAACACATTTTTAAGTACCCTCAAACTTTGTAAAATTATTAATCATTGAATGTTTATGCAACGAGTATATTCAACTTTAAACATCCGTCATACTTCCACGATTCCCTTATATACAGAGTTTGCATCTTTCGCGTGTTTTGCGAAAATTAATCAAAACTTTAAAAATGTTTGTAGCTAAATGCTCAGAAGACTATTTTTGAACGTAAATTTTAGCTATTAATTACTGAAGGTATTTTCAATATTTCATTCCTTCAAACATACTAGTCCCTTCTTGTCTGACTAAGCAACTTGAAATTTTGAAATGATTACTAATTAGTGTTTTGTGCGATATAAAGTTTTTTTCTTCAACACTTTCAAAGTACAACAAATCCTAAATACAACCTAAAACAAGGTAGCATAGAATATATATGGCTGTCTTTTAAACAATTCATGAATAACCTTTTATCTAATATTACTATTAAGCATTACTATTAACATTTGTACTACTTTTAAATTATTAAAATTATTTAATTGATTTTTTTTATATTATTAAAAAAATTACATTTTTTAATAACATATTTAATATTTAGCACATAATTTTGCTTGGTTTAAAATTTCTTTCAAAAATAAATTTAAAAATCATTAAAATTAAATTGGAAGTAGTTTATTAAAGTCAATATGCCTAATTAAAAATCTTTAAAAAAAATTTCCCAGTGCACTCGTGCGCTCAATGCAATTTGTTATAAACTACTGTGTTTCAAGAAAAATATCCACCTTATAAAATTTCAAATTGATTTACATTAAAATTCGCGTAATAGAATAAAAATGATAAAAGATTGATGTGTAAAAATATGCTTGGTGTAATTAAAAATTGACTGATATTCTTAAAATGCCAAACTATTCAATGCTGGTAAAAGTTTGATATTAGGAAGATACCAATGTTACATTTAACTTTCATTATTCATTATCAATTACCAATACCAATTGTGTAAATATGAAATTGCGTGCATACATTAATATATATATATATATATACNTAATTATATATATATATATATTAATTAACCATATGCGTTAGTGTATAAAAATTTAAAATACAAAAAAATATTCATATAAACAACAAGGGTAAGAGAAAGATTAAATTACAGTATGGCAAATATTAAAATGGGTGTATCTGAAAAATTTCAATTTTAAATCTGTATGAGCAAGAATCATTACGTGCAACATGGATGCAATGTAATCAATCTAATAAATTATCTCAGTTGGTGTTCAGTCAGCTACAGCGCTTTCTTCTTTTCTTCTTTTCTTTTTTTTTTTTTTTTTTTTTTTTTTTTTTTTTTTTTTTTTTTTTTTTTGCTTTGTCATTAATTTTTCTCTTCCACATTTACCTTTTCTAATTTCCAATCGGGTTATATAAGTTTTCATTATTCGTGTTTTGCCTTTGTTTGAGCACTCGGAATATGTCGATAATTCCTCCTATTTAACTAGGAAAAATATTTTCTTTTGAAATAAATGTCTCGGTTTATATTCAACTGAAAATAACTTATTCTGTTTTCATAACAATTTTGAAGTGATTGAATTTCTCAGAAAATAATTCAATGCCGTTTTTCTTCCCTATCAAGTAAACCTAAAACAATTAATGTCACAAAAGCCAACATCTATCATTAAAACTTTTTAATTCATTATATCAATACACTGATTTGTTAAAAACAAACATCCTTTTACAACATTACGAAGAGACTTCAATTAAAAGCAATCGCAGTCAACTAAAACTACTTAAGTAAACATACATATATTTTATAAATAAAAGATAACTTTAAATAGTTGAGAAGAAAAGATAAAAACATTTTTAAACTAAACCAAAACATAATACTTAACAGAATATAATAATAATCATTAACATAATAAATAACAGAATGAATGCATAATTTTATGTGTTTTTATTTACTTAGTTATTATTATTTGTGCATTTATGAAACTTGCAATGATAAAAAATGTGTATTCAACTGAAAAATGAAACTTCTTATTTTGGGAATCTGAAGTGCTTACGTATTTTTCGGGGCAAATTTTTTCAATTATTTTGCACAACAAATAACAATTTAATCCTTTACAAGGACATAATTAGATCTTTTCTTTTCGATCTCTTCTCACTGATCAATGATGATATTTTTCTATAAAAATATTATTATAGATGGATGTAAAAATGTCCCCTTTCGTGACATCAAAATATTGATCAGTAATAATTAATCATTGTTTGGCATCATTAAGAATAGACATTTGTTAATTGTAATCATATACAACTAAAATTCATTACTTAAAATTATTTTTCTTATATAAAAGAAAACTGTCAATAGTTTAAAAGGAAACAGAAGAATATTTTTAAATGAAGTTTTAACATATTAATTCACAGAGTTATACAAGATGAAAGGCAATTCCTTACAAAAAAAACTATCTGTTTTTGAGATTGGCAGGTGTAAAAGAATATACCTAAGATAGAAAATAGGGTTATAATTATCACCAAAAATAACCTCCTTCGAAAATCTCAATTTCAACCTCATTTACAAATTATAAAATCAACCTCATAGATAGCAATACTTATGAAAACGGGTTAAATTATTCACATCACAAAAATATTTACTTGCTTAAAATGCGAAAATGTAACCTGTGCACCTCAAAAACAACTTTTCTAAGCTGATTGCTTAAGACAATATCAAGTGTGAATAAAATAACTTCATAAACCTATATTATAAGCTTTAAGAGGCTGATTTTTTAAGATTGTTCATCAAGTCAACTTCAAATCAACTTCACATTAACCTTAATACCTCAAAACATCCTCAAATAGACTTTAAAAGCATCTTAAATTTTTATAAAGGTATGAAGAAAGATATTTTTATTAATTTGTGTAATTATGAAACCTTCCATACAATACCAACAAATACGTAGAAAACTGAGAAAAGAACCCTCTTATTTTAAAAATCTGAATTACATGTATATTGTTCAAGGCATTTATTTTTTTCAAACAAGCATAGAACAAAAGAAACAACAGTTGCATCATTTCGCGAGAGCATTTCAAGATCCCTTTTTTTTTTTCGTCATGAAGAAAATCTACAACTGGAATCTGAAGAAAATCAGCATCGATCGATGTAAAAATGCTCCACTTCATGATATCAAGAGAGACTGAAATAACAGTTGTACGCAAGGAAAACTCCACTAACATGTACTATTTTCCTTCATTCTATTGAGATTTAAATTTGCATAATCTCTCAGATCTTCTTTCTGGTTGGTTGAGTAGTTACCCACTAGTCTGACGTAGATGAAGGGTGTGAGGAGGCTGGAAGATGGTATTGAGAGGAAAACATTGATTCTTTTTCCAAAACAAATCTGAATATTTTTCCTT